GAGAGACATGGTTTCTTTCCAGGGGATTCCACATCACTCACCTGGTCTGCATTCTTCGTCAGCTCTGGATAGGCATCTCCCTGTGGAACGAGCCTTGGTTAGTGATAACATCCTCAGCATCTTCCTCAGGGGATCTCACAGCATGCCACAAGCATTATAGAGGTTTCTCAGGCAGGCGAGTGTGAAGAGAGCCCCAGAGCACAGCTCCAGGGACAGCAGCACAGGGGAAGAATCACACATGGACTTATAGCTGCCACCTCCTGGCTATCTCTGTGACCCACCTCTGCTAGGCCCTGCACACCATCTCTTGGCAAACATATTTGTTCACAATAGGAAGAAAGCACTGTCTTTTAGGATGCTGTTAGTAGTCACAGGGACCTATTTCAGATGGCTTTAACCAGGTATGACAGCTTGAAAGCCACTACCCTTGGGAAACAACAATGTGCACTTGCATACACTTACACAAACATTGTTGTTTACACTACGCCCCCCTCCCTTCCACCGCAAATGATCAGGAGACGAGAGATTTTTACTGGTGAGATGCATAGCACCAAATACACCCTCCTGGAGCTCCTTCATATCCAAGATCATCTCCTGACAGCGTACAGGAAAGGGACACGGGACTAAATAGGACAGGTGTGATACTCTTCCTCACTCACACACCCAAGGCAGTAGTTTTTACTCACCAGCACTTCCACTACAGTAGGCACCAGGGAGGCCAGGAGCCCAGGTGGAGCGTAAAGGACTTCAGAGCAAAAGCGGACAGCCCTGCGCAGGATCCGACGCAGCACCAGTCTGGAAACAGGGCAAGATTTACCAGGCGTCCATGTGAGCATCCCCGCCCAGCTCCCACATCCAGCACACCCCCCACACAGCTCCTCTGGCCTGGCCTCCCCACATCCTGCACCCACGGACGAGACTGAAGATCAGAACCTCTTCAGGCCTCCCCGAAGCTCGTGCGCTCCCTGTCTTGGGCCCACATCAGCACCTCTCCCCTTGCTGTCCATATCCCTTTCTAGACCTCCCTCCCTCCCACACCATTTCCTCGTGTTCTTACTCTGCTCCAGAGAAGCCTGGGTAGATGCCATCAGCGATGCACACGCACAAGGTACGCACGTGATCTGCCACCACACGGTAGGCCATATTCACACGCCCAACATCAGCATCGCCGACCAGGCCCTGGTATTTGGGCCCCCTGCAGCCCTAAAAGAGAAAGCAAGAAGATAGATCAGCAGAAATTAACGGCTGCAGAAGAAAAGGTTTAAGTGCACGAGGCAGTCACCTACACTTGACGTCATGCTTCTCAACTACCCTCAAACCTTGTGCATCTAAGATGTACTCCTTAAATCCTTCCAGAGCATTATACACCAAAGACTTCCATACCTAAGACAGGTCATCCAGTGCCTGGCACTGAGGAAATTAAGAAACTTTGGAGGAAAAATGGATCAGCAGTGCCTCTATCCCAGTGGATTTCCAACTTGGAATTCTACCCAGCTTTCCTGGAACATTGCTCTGGACCTAGCTGGACATACCTCCTGTCTCAAAATACCAGAGTAACATGTGTAGAGAAGGCTGAGCTATGGTATCAGGCAAGCAGTCTGCATTCAAGGAGCTCTTGTTTAGCTGTGACTATGAGCGGAAGCATCATCACCTTGTGAATGGCATCCAAGATGGGAGTGAAGAGATCTGTGTCGTAGTTGGAGCGTTTGTTCTGCAGAACGGTCACCAGCCTTTCCAGGCCCATTCCTGTATCCACATGGTGCTGTGGCAAGGGAAGCAGATTCCCCTCCACCTCTCTGTCAGCCAGGCAGTAAAAATAAAAGGCAAAAGAGAAGCAAGGATCAGTTCAGGGGCAAAGAGAAGGAGAAGGTGAGTCAAAGAGAATAGGAGAGGGCCAGGGGATGGAAACAGCAAGTGACTCAACAAAAGGAAGCACAGGGACAAGACTAACAGCAGCCTGCCTTGGCACAGTCAAGCAGCCAGGATCTGACCATCAGACAGTCAGGACAGACACTAACGTAGGGAAAAAGGCCTTCCCTGAACAGGGGACCAAGGCCTTCTCCTCCTCCTGCAGATTTCTCCCGGCTGCTGCAGACCTCAAGAGATCTCTGGGATGCAGCAGTGAGGGAGAACAGGCAGCAGAGATCGAAGGAGGACAGGAAAAATAAAGCAAACAGGACCAAGAGCCACACTGGACACATCTCCACAGCTTCCCTCTTGCTCCTGTATTGCCACCTCCTGGAAAGCAGCGAGATGTCCGAGAATATACATGTATGATTCTGGGGTCAGACAAGGGGGAAAGGCTCTGGAGCTCAGACCAGATGCCTGGTACCTGCTGTACTGCATGAAGACCAGATTCCAGATCTCCACTACATCAGGGCTGCCCCGGTTCACCAGTGCTGCAGCATTTCTGCCACCACCCACGTGGTCATAGTGGATTTCTGTGCAGGGACCACAGGGACCTGTCTCCCCCATCTCCCAGAAGTTGTCCTTCAATGGAAAAGGAAGCACATGACTGGCAGGCACCCTGGAAAGGCAAACAACAGAGGTGGCAGCGCTCGGGGATGCACACAAAGCACACAGTAGTCTAGATCACAGAAAAAGTTGGAAGGGAGGAATCCTTTCTGACTACTACAAATACAATAACCAAACACGTTAGGAATCCCTTACTTCTGTTCACACAGAATTACTCTCCTTAGCAGGAACAAGCCGGACCAAACCAGACAATCCTACTGTCTGGATCCTACTCACTGCCCAGAATGGCTGGCAAACAGAGTCTGGCTCCTGCTGACGGAGATGGGCTCTCCACTGGGTCTGTGGAGCTGCCTTCCTCCTTGGAAGGAATTCTGGCAGAGCTAATAAGACCTGATCACAACAGACAAGGCTGAACAGCAGCGGCACAGAGCTGGCTGCCCTGGGTTCAAAGCCCACACACAGCCTGGAACAAGCTCCCAAAGCACAGCAGTGCTCTCTGCAACGGCCTCATCCTCACACTGAAGCAGCCATTGCTAGCTTTCTGCAGCTCATGATGGGGAGGAAGCAAAGGATCACAGATCCTTTACATGCTTCATTCCAGGCCACCCCCTCTTAGGTAGACAGCTGCCCAGACTGATAACATCCGAGAAACAGCTTAAAGGTCAAGAGCCCCAGGGCACTCAGAGCCCAGTGGACTTTTAACAGCCCAAACAAACCAGAAACAAAATGAGTGTAAACCACAACTTTTGTCCCCTGCATCTGTTTCCCATCAACTAAAGAGCAAATGGGAGACTATAGATGAAATGTCAGCATCTGCTGCTCAGAACCTCTTCTCTAACACACTCACCCCAAGTGGAGCCACACATCCCTGCACTCCTCATCTGCACTCAGCCCCAGTGAGGTGTCCCCGCCAAAATAGGTGACGTAGAGGCGATCTCTGGGGATCTCGTAGACCTCTGTCAAGAGCTCCCAGGCCATGCTACACGCCTCCTCCTGAGCAGGCAGGGAACATAAACGAAGCACAGTAATCCAGGATGCATAGTGATGCAGGAAGGCTCTTTAGAATGCGAGTTAAACACTAAAGAAGCTTGTTTCAGCCGCTCTCTCCCCATCCACTTTTAAGGTGCAGTGCAGAGAACAGGATGAGGGTCAGGCGAGTGAGATGGCTCACATCTGCCTGTGGAAAACTGACGTTACTAAGCTGTTGGGAGACACTCGGGATCACAGCATGGTCTACACCCACATGCTTACCAGCGGTTACATGGATTATTTTATTTGCAAGGAAAAAAGGTATTCACCAGCAAAACAACTAGCATCTTTTATCTTTCTTCCCTTTCGAAACTCCCTAGTTACAAGCACCAACTGAACTAGAAGCCTCTTTTCACCATATTAAATGGTCAACGCTGGCATCCACAGATTGTACGCGTCGTTCACGGTTGTGAAAGGCTGAGCGCTCTGAGAGTCTGCAGGGCACATTTAGTGACTCGGCACGCCAGTCCACTACCTCTGCTCCAGGCCACAGAGCTCCCCAAAAGTAATTTGGCGCGATTCCCAAGATGCCTCCCACAGAAAGTTCTGAAAGGCAGGCTGCATTTCCCCCTGGGGGAGGGTTTCCACCTATCCACCCTCACCTTGAAGTAATCCCCAAAGGACCAGTTCCCCAGCATCTCGAAGAAGGTGTGGTGGTACGTGTCGCGGCCCACGTCCTCCAAGTCGTTGTGCTTCCCGCCGGCACGGACGCACTTCTGGCTGTTCACCACCCGCCGGTACCTCGCCAGCTCGCTCCGGGGGTGCACCGTGCCCAGAAAAACGGGCTTGAACTGGAAACCGAGGCAGACAGAGGCGCCCACTATTGCTGGGTGACACCCGGCGCTGGGGCGGGGGGGAGCGGCGGCGGGGTGTCCCGGTCCCGAAACGCGGCGCCACAAGCCCACGCGGGAAGGGGAGCTCACCCCGCCGTGGGACACCCGAAGACGCGGGGAGCGGGTCCCGGGAAGCCGGTGCGCGGGCGGGGAGAGGGGAGGGCAGCACCTGGTTCATGCCCGCGTTAACAAAAAGGAGGCGCGGGTCACCGCGGGGCCGCACGGGAGCCGAGGGCAGGCGGCGGTGGCCGTGGCGGTCTTGGAAGAAGCGGAGGAAGGCATCACGGACCTGCCCCGCCGGCGGGCAGCCGGCGACTCCGCGGCGGGGGCTCCAGCGCCACGACAGCGCCGGCAACAGCCTCCCCGCCACCGCCATGGCGGGCGAGGGCGGAAGGCGGGCGCGGCGGCTTCCGGAAGGGGCGGGGGAGAAGGGCGGTGGCCGGAAGGGCGCACGCGTAGCCTCCCCTCGCTCTCCGGGTTCGATTAGCCGGGCTGAGGGGTGGTGCGCTGCCGTCGCGCCGGTTATCCGTCTCGCGAGATCTCCGTTGCCGCAGCGATTGCTCCTGTCTGGCGCGGCGGGTGGCGCGGGGACATGGCGGCGCGGGGGGCGTCGCGCCTGGCCTGGTGCCTCCGCCGGGTCGGGGCCGGCGGCGACTGGCTGCTGCTGGAGGCCGGCACGCAGGTGAGCCGGGACGCGGGCCCGCCTCCGTGGGGGGGCCGTTACCGGCGCCACTGGGCCTCAGCCCTGTCCCTCAGCGGCCCTCGCTGCGCTTTGTTCCGCCAGCCTCGCCGTTACTTAACGCGCTTCTTAGGAGGGAGGGGGGGGGGGGGGGGGGGAAAAACCAAACAACCAAAAAACAAAAAAACCCCCAAACAAACAAAAAAAAAACCCCACACAATCAAAACCATCCCCCCCGCCTCGGGCTGGTTAATAAGCAGCGGTTGTTAAATTGGGGAGGAGCCGGGGGGTGGGGCAGCGGCTGGGGCTGGCGCGGTTCGGCAGCGGGAGCGGGCGTCTAATTTGCCAAATCTTCGGTTATTTTTATTTATTTATTTATTTAACGCGGCCCCGTACTTAGGCGGCAGCGGTTTGCGCGGCCCAGTAACGTAAAGGGGGGAACCCCCCCCCCCCCCCCCCCCCCTCAGCCTGATTGACCGGGTGTTGCTTTGGTGAGGCCCGTGGTTCGTAACGCATCCGAGTTTCGCGGCTTAAGTTATTCGGCTGTAGGCGATGTAACGCTTTGCATCCGTTTCAGCTACGTTTCGGCACGGCGCGGGAATTTTATAGCGGTCGTGTTTTTTTTTTTTTTTTTTTTTTTTTAAACTAAAAAGCCCCAGTGAGGTCCCTGTGCGCTTTCCCTTAAACCCAGCGGGCAGCAGAGCCGTGCGGGGCCGCGGGAGCATCGCCGTTCCGGTGCTGGGAACCGGGGGCGGTTAAGGAGGTCCCTGTCGCGACTCGCCGCTCCGTCGGCGAGCCGTTGGCTCTGTTGGTCGCTCTCCTGTCGCGGGTGGGAAGCCCGCAGGGGTGCGTGAGTGTGCTGGGGCGAAGGACGCCCCCGCGAGTCCATCTCTGAAAAAAAAAAACGTACGGCCCGGGCTCCGGCAGCTGGAGCAGAGAAACGCGTTTGGGGGGCGTCTCTCGTGGGGGGGGGGTGGGTGGGTGGGGTGTCTCTCGCTCCTCCGGCTGTTGGCACGGCGCTGCGGGCCCTGTCACGGGGCAGCGGGGCTGCTGACGGTGGCACGTCCCACGGGGGGTGCCCAGTGGGCACAAAGCACTTTCGCTGGGGATTTCGGGGTGGGTGCCAAACCGTGCTGCTGAGGCGTGGGGAAGTGCTGTGGGCGGTGGTCAGCTCGAGTGGGTGACGTCTGAGCCCCCCGCCGCTCGGGGAGGTTTGGAAGTTTTGTGGCTGACCTTACTTAATTGTATCTGATGTGCGTGACTGAGCGTTAATAACAGGAGTCTTTACCCATCTAAGTCTCTGTGCCTCTTACACATGCAATCCAAGCTGACAGAACCTATGAAGCATTTAAGAGGTGGGGACCCGAGTGGTAAGGTTTGCTTTCATGATCTTAGTTTGTTTCCTTGCATTTAGTTGTGACATGGGAGTCAAAGTTCTTGCTTTAAACATGGATGGGACTTGCTCAGGTAATGTGTAGCCAATGAACCTTTCTTGACGGCAGCATCTCTCCATCTTGTAGGAGTTGGAAGGTGTGATGCAAATGAGTTGGGATCGCAGAGGAAAAGAAGGGCAGCCTTCATATAATGCATGATAACTAGAGTGCACTTTTACAGTATTCTTCACCAAATTTAACTTTGGGCTTCTGCTAAAAGGTGTTGTGCGTTTTTTTGCTGTATTACATTGGATCCATGCAGTTATCTGATTACATGAGTTGACTGAAAGCTTGTGCAATGCATGGATGAATAAGAAAAGTGTGTATGATTGTCAGATCTTGCAAAGGAGGCAACAAAGGGAGGGAGAGAGAGCAGAGCTGTGCTTTAAATGGCAGCCTGCAATTAGATCAGATTTAATAAGATACTGTGAAACGGTATGATTAAATTATGTCCTTTCTTCCAGAAGATGCTATTAGAGTCTAATCAGATTATTTAGATCACTTTCACTATGGGTTATGAACAGCACATCGCTTATTTTCTGAGCTGCAAGATTGATAGTGTGATTTACAAAAGCACTGCACATTTAGCCCACAGTTAGATGTGCATTTTTTTGATGGCAATTTTCTGGGCTATTTTTTCTGGGTCTTCCCTGTTCACAGTTGAACAGATGCAACTAGCAAAAGAAGAAGGTAAGAAGCTATCATGAGACCCACAGAGAATTGTACTGGTTTGAAGAAATGGTGTTTGGTTAGGTTAGGTTATGACTAAGGTGTGACGTGGATGGAGAGTGGCTTTGAGCAGCTTTGGTGCTGAAGAAGATTTCCATTGACCAAGGCTGTAACCTACCTTAGAGCAATCAAATTTTCCTCAGTGGGAGAGAAAGACAATACTTCAAACTTGATAGAAAATGAAAACCTACTACTTTTTGAATTTAAATGCAAAAAAAAATAATAATATAAATCATATAGCTATTTTCAAGGAGTTTGGGATAATAAGATGCTAATCTAGGTAGATTTCTGCTGTACTACTTAAATTGAAACGACATAAACTGAATTTGCCATGTTGTTGCTGATTGCAGTTGCTAAACTACTTTATTTTTAGGTAACTGTAGGCCGGGGCCTAGATCTCACATATCAGCTGGTGTCAAAAACCTGTCCCTTGATGATCTCTCGTAAGCACTGTGTTTTCCAGCAAAATGCAGAAGGGCAGTGGACTGTCAAGGATAACAAGGTACGGAGGCTGATTAAAGACCTTGTACTCTCAGATTCACTGAAAAGAATGCCCTGGTTTTGCTCAAACAATGTATGAGCTGTGGTATAATATGGTAGAAGTGTGATAGAAGGTCCATGGGAATGTGTCTCGCCTGTTGTGCTCTTCCAGCAGGAAGCTTCAGTCTGCTGCAATTGGGATACAAACTGTATTGCTTTCTGTATGTGGATTTGTCTTTTGGTTTAGCATTTTTCAGACAATGGTAGTCTTGCCAAGGGCGCTTTGCAGTTTGTGAACCTGTTTTGTGTTGCTTTCTTAAAACAAACAAACAAACAAAAAAGAGGCCTATGAATTTTGGCAGTATTCAAAAGGATACTGTTCTTGTACTGCTGATGAATGGATAACCTGATACTCCTTATTCTAGTGACACAATTGCGTTAACTGTAATCAACTACAAGAAGAATCTCTTGTTAGAAAAAATGTGCTTCTTGTTATATTCAAACAAGTTGCTTCTGAAAGTCCTCACCTGATTAGGATAAAGTGTTGACATCAGAGTCTTCAGCTAAGTCTCAATTTTTCTTCAGTAATCTGTTTTTTTTTTTTTTTTTTTTTTTTTTGTATCATGATCTTTGCACTTTCTCTTTTGGGCTGAAGACTGTAAAATCAGTACTTGCTTTAAAGCAGCACTGGTAGAACAAAAATGTTCAACACGTCATGCAGATTTGAAAGAAGTTTGGGTCAACAGCAGACTAATCAAAGGAAAAGAGTGGCTACTGTTACAGTTACACTGCTCTTAAACAAAACTCTGTTAAAGTGCTTGCATAAACTTGAAAACTTACTGTTATTGCACAGATTTGAAACATCTGTGGTAGATTAACTATTAACACTTCCTCTGTGTTATCACTGCTACCAGTTTGTCAGGTTGTTCTGTTGAATCTTTGATCTGTCAGTTGTTTATGCTTCTGCAGTTCATCTGGAGCAGCACAGATTAGTTTTTCTGTTTTTCAAAACTATTTATTGAGCTAGTGTCAAATCTAAAAACTTTTTCTGCTTTGAACATTATCTCTAGAAGAACATTTTCCTTCTTGTTTATATTCTTCTTTTATTTATGAAGAGCTGTCTCTTTTTCTTTCAGCAGTATAAGCTATGCTTCTTTTTCTAGTTTCTTCTTGAATTTCAGGTGACATCAATTGTCAAGAGTAATTACTGCACTATTTTATGTTCTTGACAATGATCTGTTGCTGAGTCTTTTCTTTTTATTGATTAGTTCTTGTTTCTGAAGCTTTTGGACAGTTTTTTTTCCCCTTAGAGTACATTCTTTTCCTACTGCACAAGCGCATATATTAATGTTGTTCTTGGTGCTTGTACACAAAATCTGTAATGCAGAAATAATGCACAATAACTAATATAATGCAATAACTGTAATAAATGCGACACTAAGCCAATAAATTGGGTATTGCAAGGTTTATTTAAAGAGGTGGCTTGTTCTCATTTCAACACTCAAGAGGTTGGATATGTTTACAGTTCCCAGAAATAACTTGCAGAATACTCTGTAACTGCATATTAAATTTTGTTGATTCTCTGTTCATTTACAGAGTCTAAATGGAGTCTGGCTTAACAAACAGCGCCTGGATCCCTCAAAAGCCTATCCCATCACTGAAGGAGATCATATCCAGTTGGGAGTGCCTTTGGAAAACAAAGAGACTGCTGAATATGAGTATGAAGTGATTAAAGAGGAATGGGAGAAAATCAGACCCTTTTTAGCCCAGAGGAATGACCTGGGGAAAGCTAAGAGTTCAAGAACTAAACGTAAATTTAGTTTGGAGGAATTGGAGACATCTGGATCAGAAGGCCCTTCAAACTCCAGATCCAAAAGAGACAGGGTGTCCTGGGACAATGAACCTTTGGGTAAATCCTGGGGAAGGATAGAAGAGGCCAAACAGTTAACAGAGAAGCTGGATGTCAAGCTGCAGTCTCCTGGCCCAAGCGAGGGGGATAGTGCTCCAGTGCGTAGTAGCCCTGTGCACTCCAGGAAGGCCATCCCTGTCCTCTGTAAGGAGCAGAAAGGCTCCGGTCTTGCGGAGTCATGGACTGGCTTGGAAATGCTGAAGAAAACTCTACTAGATATAATGAAGTTAAAGGTCAAAGTGCAGGAGAAGCAGACAGCAGTTCTGAATGTGAAGCAGAGGCGCAGGAAGTGTGCTCAGAAGGAGATCCTGGCAATGGAGCAGGAGCTGCGGGAGTTGCAGGACCAGCTGTGCACGGAGCAAGAGCATCATCAGCAGCAGGTAGAAGAGCTGGAGAGGACTTTGTCGAAACAGCAGCAGAAGCTAGAGGTATAATAGTGGTAATCTTTTTGGCCTGTGACTTTTAATTTTTATGGAATGCCTAGCATAAGACATTGATCCAGAATAAGATCTTGAACCATACAGTAACACCGGTAATGTTTGTGTGAATTACTGCTGTTAAAACCATCATCGAAGTATTTCACTTCCAGGCACGTGTACCAAAAGACAGTGTGGACACAGTAGGGACTGGGCTGCATAGGGAATTAGGAAAAAGGCACAAAATATTATTTTTTAATTTGTTTACAAACAGGTTCATTACAGTAAGATAGTAAAGCCTTTCAGTTAGTAAAAAAGCATCTTTTTAAATAAAAAGATCGAAAGCATCTGCCTGATTCCCTGTGGTTACAGAGAGGACAAGTTGGAAAGTATTCATCTTAAGTGTGAATTTGTCTTGGTATATGTCTGAATTAATGCCCAGTTTGCACAGCAAATCCATTCCCTTTTAGAGCAAGTAAATTACTGTATGCCTTAATCCCTGGGGGGAGGAAGGGTTTTTTTCATACTTTGAAGAAACCCTTTCTTGCAATCTGTGTCTTCAAGAAGTATGTGTAAAGTAGCTTTTTTTTAGGTAACAAACTGAAATCTTTGTATTCGAGTTTGTTCAAAATCTGATTTAAAGGAAGTAAGAATTCAGCTCGGTGTGAGTTTTGTTATTTATCAGTTACTTCCTTTAAAGCCTGCTGCTAAAGGCAGGACACCTGTATCAGAAGTACAGAAAGTCTGGAGTTGAGTGCTTAGGCACGATGAATAGTTGAGCTGGAGCTGTAGGTACATCTGACCTCTTTGAACGACCTCAAAGATAGAGTTGCAGCTTTTTCTCACGTTTAACATGTTGGTGACCTCTTTGCTTCTATGAACATGCCGGTGCCTTTAGAGCTAGAATAATGTGGAAGTGTTCCAAGTATGTAACTGTAAATGATACATCCATTTTAACTCTTCACAGTAAATGATCTCTCTTATTTCTGTCGTACACGTGTGACACTAAAGTCGGACATCTTTGTTTTTTTTTTTTCTTCCTTTTTTTTTTTCCTTCCTTTCTTTCTTCCCCCCCTTCCCCCCAGGGAGTAAAGTGGCAACATGGGGAAGAGAATCTGAAGGAGCAGCTGGCCCAGGTTCTGCAAGAGGCAAGTAGTTGTGAGTCTAGGTTTGGTCTAACTGTGTAAGTCAGGTATTTAAATCTTTCTTACTGCTGTGGCCTCTTGGTAGAAGATGAGGATTTTGCCTTAGGTGCAGATTGGATGATCTTCATCTACAGACCAAATTTCTGTCAGAAAGTAGTAGGCTTTGCTTTGTGGGAGTTACTATTTCCCAGCAAATATTGTGGGATATTTTCAGATTGAAAGCATTAAGTAGCTGCAATGATTTATTTTATTTTAATTTGGGCCTTTGTGAGGTCTGTCTGCTGGGTATCTGTTCTGGGGAAATTGTTTTGGCAATTTTAACCAGATGAAAAGAATTCAGTTTCTTGGATAGGAATGTTTTTGAAAGAGAATGCCACACACTTAGGTTTCCTAGTCTTTTTTCAAAAGGCCTTTCCCTTTGGAAAGCTAATCTGAAAACAGATTCAGGTAACTCTGCATACAGTGACAGGTTTTTGTGATCCTTATGTGTCAAATACCCCTTCATACTCAAGTGTCTCAGATGCGCTCAAAATGGTGACTGTAAAACCTAACTGAGATGGAAGGGTAACCTGGGAGACGGGATGAGAAGTGCCACGATGCTGGGAAGGTTATAAATAACTGGCACTAGATTCCAGTTTTAAGGCTAAACTGCTTTAACACCCCAACTCATATAGACATGTGTTGCTCTTTTAGGAGGAGGTTGGGAAAAATAAGTATGCTGAACCTCATGATTATGGTCATGTATATTTAATAGGATAGCTTATAATAGCACTCGTATAATTTCTGGGATGGTATTGTTACAGCATCATGCTTTGATGGAAGAACTGAGCCGTAGTAAAAAAGATTTTGAGGAGATAATTCGAGCCAAGAATAAAGAACTGGAAGAAACCAAGGTAGGGAATAACTGAATTCTCAGTTTTATACATAAGTGAAACATGATCATCTGCAGCAGAGGAAATGGTTTATTTCATATTTGTCTTGACTGTACTTTGCCTCCCATAGTGAAAAACTCCTGTATTTTTGAGGTGGCAGCTGACTCTAGTTTCCAGGATTGGGGCAGGGTACACCTTGCCCTGTTCATAAATTAGTGTTGAACAGTTGTTACTAGATCTTTCTGGATGATAAAAAAAGCCCGGAGCACCTGAACTGTATTGTGCAGAACTGCATCCATTCCACCCTTCCTTTTTTTTTTTTAAAAAAAAAAGAAGAGAGAGAGAGTACGAAGGGTGTTTTGAAAAGTGAGGTGCTTCATTTTTGGTTAGAGTGCATTCAAGTAAAACTGCAGTGTTCCAGCAGTCCTACAAAGGAGTGTAGGACTGAAACAGCATGGAATTTGAATAATGAGTAAGATAAGCCACATTTCTCCACATTTCTTCCTGTCCTTGGCACAAGGTTATGAGTGGAAAATAATTAAGGAGATCCCTTGCTGTATTTTACTCTTGGAAATTATCACATTACCCACCTCTGGCTGTTTGCTTCTTTTTTTTGTTGTCGTTGTTGTCTTTGCACCTTTGTTGCTGTTTCAAGTACAGCTTCAATTGGAAGAATTTCTGTTATTTTTAGAAGATAGAGCAGGTTCCTAGGAGCCTAATTTAACTCCAAACAAAAAAAAATGTATTGGGCAGTTAAATGCAAGTAAATGTTTTAAATTCTTATGCTTGCTTTTTTTAATATTTGAGGTATTTTGTCTGTTGGGTGTTTTGCTATTTACGTCAGGCTTTCTGTTGACTTAAGCCAAACTCATGCCAGGAAGAGGTTGAAAGAGATTCTGAAAAGATTGATCCAGCTGGTAGTTTCTTTAGGCTGAAGGGAATTTTGGTAATGGCTGCTGTTCTTCCTTGTAAGTTCTCTACAGTGGGTGGGAATATTCTCAGTATTGCTGTGACTTCAAAGAGGAGAGAGGTTACAGATCTGGGTATATAATAGACGTAGACTTGACATGTGGAAACTTGCAGTTATAGGATTTTCTACTTGTACTACCTTTCCCTGCACATGCACTTCCTGCCAATATTATGTTGAGTGGAACCTTGTTCTGTTGGTATATGATCATATGTGCTTTTCTACCAGGAGGAGAAGGAAAAGGTGAGAGCCCAAAAAGAAGAGGTGTTGAATCAGATGAACGACGTGTTGGAGAATGAGTTGCAGTGCACAATCTGTTCTGAGCACTTCATTGAGGTATGTTTAAACTGGTATGGGTTTGCCAGTAAAGAGACTTGAGCAGCTTTCCCTAGTTCTATTAAAGCAATAATCCAGCTTATTTCTTTACTTTGCTAGTTCAATAGTCCGAACAGACCCACAGCGAGTTGTGGGTAAGGGTTGGTCCAGAAATACATTCTGTCTGCCCAAACTCTTCTCCTGGGCACCTAGTTCAGCTTTTATGTCTCTACCTGCATAGAGGTGGGTTCTTAATATGCATATAGACTTGCAGCAGTTTTGGGTGTTTTTGAACTGGTGTTCTGAGGTACTGCTAACAGTCTGCTTGGGGAAGAGTCGTTTTGTAGTAGACCTTGCTTTAATTTGACTAGAGTTGGACTGCTTCAGATTTAGATATAGGAAGAGGTTAGTAAAGGAAGGGAGGAGCAGTGCTCATTCAAGTCCTGAACTGTTTATATTGTTCGGATAAACTCGTTGAGAAATTGGCCTGCTTTTGATTCTAGAAGTGATAGGCTATGCCTGAAATGTAGACTGTTATTTCTGTTCATGTTTTACTAGAACTTCAGTTTCATTACATTTATTTCTACTACAGGAAACCTGATGTGTTAGCCTTGTTATAATGACTTAAGTGCTAGCTGAAATTTTAATTTCTGGTTTCTCAGTAACTTAAGATACTATTCTGCCATATGAGTTTTTCCATAATATATCCTTTTCAAATTGGGGAAACTTATAATAGAATTAGTTCTTTCTGTCTGGGTTTTAGACTTGCTATGATCTACCGTGAATCCATTAACCAACTTGTAAAACTTGTCTGCACGTTGGCATGGGAAAGTTTTTGTGTGTAACCCCTACAAAGGCTAAAGAAAAAGGGTCTTTTTGGCTTCTCTTTCCCCCCTTCCCTTATAGGAAGTGTTCATCTAATGTTTTCCCGACTTCAGTGTTTTTTTCTTGCCACTGCTTGTGTGAGCATGCTCTGATAAGTGTCCTGTCGAATTCCACAGGCGGTCACGCTGAACTGTGCGCACAGCTTCTGCTCCTACTGTATCAATGAGTGGACAAAACGTAAAGTGGAGTGCCCTATCTGCAGGCAGGAGATCAAATCAAAGACACGCTCTCTGGTCCTGGATAACTGCATTGACAGGATGGTAGAGAAACTGGATGTGGAAATGAAAGAGCATCGCCTGACGCTTATCAGAGAGCGGAAAGGTGAGAGGTGGGTGGATGTGGCATGATGAATATAATCTCTCATTCCATCTATTTTGTACAACTTTGGCACCTATATACCGAGGAGATGCTCAGGGAATGCAGCAGAAACACTAGAAAATTAATTTTAATATATGTTGTGTAACTAGCTTTACTGCACAGTAAAATAAAATTAATAAAAAGTTTGGAAAAATACTTTGGTATGAATCCCACAGCGGAACTGAGTGGGACAACTCAACCATGCTAAAGGTTGTGCTGCTTCAAAGAGATCACTAAATAAAAGCAAAAGGATATAGAATGGGCCTTGAAAAATTTACCAGATACCTTTTGATTAAACTATTGACAACATTGTTGCAAAAACTCAGCAGAGCAGTGCCTGATGAGAACCTGAATTCTCTTCTGCATGTTTAGATTTGTGTAGGAAATCTCTGAAGGGAATGTGTGTCATGTAAGTGTATGGCTGAACTGGCAGTATCTCTGCCATGTTAATTTTTGTGGAATTAAAGCCACTGTGGCTTAAATGCATAACCTCTTGCCTACTTGTATGGAAAAGACTGTGCATGACAGCAATGGCTTTCAGTAAAACTCCAGTAAGGGGGATTCCTATTCTGCTTCAATCTTCCAAATTTGTTTCTAGAGCACTTGACACTGGTATCTAGGTGCTGAAACACAGAAGTCTTTTTCTGCAACCCCTTAACAAATTTCTGTTGCTGTGTTCCCATAAGTGACTTGTTTTCCCCTCGTGGAAGTGAATGCATGATGTTTCATTTTGCATTGTGTCGAGCCTTTTACCTAATGAAAGGTGCTTTTGAAACATTTCAGATTCTCCATGGTGACACAGAGTGGCATCACTAAGTCACGTTAGTTCAAACCTGAGATTATAACCTATTTAACCAACTGAGTCTGATTCCCTCAGGAAATGCTACACTGCTCAGAGGCTGCCCAGCTCGGCTTCCTGAATTGCTTTCAGCTCTGCAGAACTGACACTGCTCTTGTGTAACGCGCACGCCTGCAGAGCATGCCATAGCACTACTGAAGTGTCTCACCAGGTAGCTAACGGTGATCAGGTGAAGTGGTGCATTTATTGGAGCCCACTTCATTTCTGTATGGTAAGCCAGGGGTCTTCATGCTTTTTTCAACAAAAAGGAAATAAGCTCATAGCCTATGTTCATGTGTGGTAGATGCTCTAATTATATAAATGGCTATTAGTAGGAAATCATTTTACTTCACCATGATACACTTTAGGAGGAAAGATAAATTGTTGCCGTGCAGTCTTCATTCAGTGATGGAAACATTTTGATTGAGATGAAGATAACCATGTGACTATTTAAACATGAATTCCTAAGACGAAACCAGCTGAAAGAGAAATAATAATGCAAGTGGCACTTGAGAAGCTCAGTCAGAGCTTCCCAAGAAGCTTTTTCAAGAGCCTTAGTAGAACAGGCACCACTGGGATAGCTTGAACTGTTAAATGTGTGGAAGTTTTGATGGGACTGTAAGTGTCCTGAACAGCCATTACTTATCTGAAAGCTCCTTACCACATTTTGTTCCTTCCCTCCTCCTTATGTGGCGAGGCACTGTAACAGTTAGCCACTTCCATTTCCAGTTGTGTGTCAGTGAAGGGATTAAGTATGTCTACTTCTCATCTGTGCTATCTTAATGGAAAAAGGCCTGTGCCCAGCAGCTTGAAAGATCTATTGAAAATGACAGCGTGTGTGAGCTGACCCAGGCAGGACACAGGAACAACCACAAAACCATGGATGAAATGCAAAGAGCAAATTTATTCTCGTTACCTTGTGACCTGGGGGATCTCCGCAGCAGCACCTGGGCAGAGGCACGCAAGCAGGGACGCAGGCACCGTGGAGCTCAGTCCTTGTTAGCCACAAAGAGGAGCAGAAAGAAAAGATCTCAGACCTGCTGCTTTTGCCTGTATATATGAGGGATTTTTGCAGGTGTAGTTTTCCACTGTGCTTTGATCATTCCCAGAGCAGGGCAGGAATCTCAAGGATGTTCGATAGGATGCCTCCGCGCCTCTCACAGGCCTGCGTTATCTAAACGCAGACATTCTATCTGCCAAGCACACAAAACTAAACAGCAATTAGTGTGATATATTTGTTTTTCAGCACCCCAGCTGCAAGTCACTTGAGCGTGTTTACAATCCTCTTCACCAATCTTCCCTTGTATTCCCACATTCCACCCCCTTGCTCGGAGACTATTTCTGCTGGGGCTGGTAAAGCTGGAGGTGTTCATTTGGGTTTGTGGGGTGGAGCGATGCGCGAAGGCATGCAGAAAACACATAGAGTAAAGAAAGGAAAATAATTTTAAAAAGAATAAATATGTCTCTACAATAATGTTTTTGGATTGGGCATCCCATTCATCCTTTCAGAAAGTTATACAACTCAGCCAGCCAGGCACCATCAGTAGGTTGTTTCATTTGGTGCATTAAGTCCTGGGGTGGTTGAATGTTGTCCTCTATGCCAGCTGATCCATCAGTGATGTTGAAGCAACACATGCCTTCAAAATTGAAGCAGTGTTTATGTTGTGGAAAGAGGAAAGAGTCCACTGTCAATCAATTTTGTGATGTTCATTGGCATACAGCCTTAACCTACTCAGAAAAAACAGCAATGAGAAACATTAATATCAAACTCACTTAGCATAGTATAATTTTGTAACACAGCTGCTGGGGTTCGCATGCCAATGAGACATGTTGTCAAAAGAGCTGCCGTTAATCTTCTCTTAACGCAAAAGGCAGGTGAGTCAGTTGCAGTAAAGGCCAACCAACTCTAAGCATGTACGTGCTGATCTTGTAGAAATATATCCAGGGTGTGTGCCTGTAGTGTAAGACTGTAAAGCATGATGAGCCAACCTGTGATAGGGAAGGAAAACAGAGTGTCATCTCCTTCTAGTAATACAGACACTATTGCTCCAGCTCCTTTAGTTAAAGTTATTCTGGGTTTAATAACCTGATGTGGGGTAATTGCCCACACAGATTGGAGAATTATATCTTGTGCTTTTTCAGATTGAGCTTCAATTTGATGTTGGGTTCATGACACCAGGAGCACCATTCTAATGCTGTCTCCTCTAGGCAAGGCACAAGTATTCATCGAAGATACCTGAAATACAGGAACTTGAGAATCTGATATCAACAAAGGATGTAAAGTAAGAGAAGTTGAGGTACAAAACTACACAGTATTCTCAGGAGTGGTTATATGAATCTTCATATCTAGGCTAATAGGTTCTTTCTCATTTTTTGGCACAGTCATGTGCCACAATCCTCCTGAGACTATATCATCTGGAATTGTTTCTGCTTCAAAAGGATGTCCTCACCTAGGAGTGTATAATCGCTCATGCTCTATCAAAAACTTTTGTAGGCATCAAAGGCTTCTTGTTGTTGCTTGGTCCACTGCCAAACAACCTTCTTAGTTAATTTCTGCAGAGGGTGCATTAATACCACTGGAGGCGAGGTAAAATTTCTCCACTACCCTAAAAATCCCCCAGAAGTCTGTAACTGTTTTACTGTGGTTGACACAGGAAATTGCTGGACTGTTTGCTGTACCATATTTGGTATTTCTCTAATCTGTCTATACCAAACTATTCCCCAGAATTGTACAGTAGTACTTAGAGCCCTGTATCTTCTTGGGATTAATTGCCTAGCCTTGGTCCTTTAAATGTGCTTTCAGCCATTCAACAGCTACTTAAATTTCTTGTTGTGATTCTGACATAATCAGCAAATCATCAGTGTAATAGTAAACAGTCAGGGTACCAGGCCATAGTGCCACATCAGCTGCTGTAATTTGGTGGCAAAAGGAGGGACTGCGTGTGTATCCCTGAGGCAATATTTGGAAGGTATATTGCTTTTGTTGCCAGGTAAAGGCAAACTGGTCTTGACTTTCTGAAGCAATAGCTATTGAAAAAAAAAAAAAAAAAAGCATTAGCAGGGTCTATCACCACTTTCCAGGGTTGCAGATTTTTGCTAATTTTTTTCTAGAAGAGTAACCATGTCTGGCACCATAACTACAAGTGTGGGGGTGTGACTTGATTCAGTTCTCTGTAATCTACAGTCATTCTCCAAGTGCCGTCTGGTTTACGAACAGGCCAAATAGGATCATTAAAAGCAGTCACAGTTTCTTTAACAATTCCCATTTGTTGAAGTGCCTAAATGGTTTTGAGTGCTTTTTTTTTTTTCCTCTTCCTTCCCTGCTCCCTGCCGCCCTGAATAAGGTACTGTTTTACAGTTACCACTTTGCCAGGCACTGGCAGCACAACAGGATCCCACTTCAGGAATCCATGCAAGATGGTTATAGATTGAATAACAAATCCCACTCGTGAAGTCCTGAAGCAGAAGTGACCATTTAAAGTTTCAACTGTTTGTCCTGCCAGCACATCCACACCCAAGATATATTCTTTAATTGGGGCAGTTAACACCACTGCAGTAAATGGCGCGGCGTTCCCTATTGTTAAGGTAACCTTAGCTTGGAGGGCAGGGGTGGGTTCCCCCCAGATCCGTGATGGGGCTTCTTCATTATCAATATTACTATGTAATACAGTAACCTGTGGCTCCTGCTGTAGCTAATACATGTAAAATCCCCCCAGACCACCACTTTATAGTTAGAGGAACATACGGGCATTGATCCACCTCATGGTAAGAGGCTGCAGTAGCGGCAATTCTGGGGGACCTGCCAAACCTTAATTTGTACTTTTTTTGGTGTTTGCCAGGTAGTGCCTTGCCTTGAGGTGGCAGGAGGGGTGGAGCGTGGGTGTGGAGTTCGTGGTGGAGCTAGGGGGTGATGAGCTTTTTTGCATGAATGCTAACTTTTGCTGTCAGTGGAACACTTCTGATGTCCTGATCCCATCTGTTCCTGATTGTGGGATATCAACTTGTACAATACCTTTCCGCATTTGTTTCCTTGTCACCCACATTGTGGATCCTTTCGGTTTTACTGATTTTACTCACCACCTGAATAAACAGCGCCGAAATTACAGTCCAAATCTCTCTCAAGATATCTGCTAGGCCACCTACATTACCTCTAGCATTTGTCACTACTGGTATAATCAAGGGTTTTAGTGAGGTAGGCACTCCTCTCAAAAACTGCATTTTGATATTTCTCTTTGCTGATACCCTGTCTGACTTGAATTTGAACTCAGTCTCAGAGTATGAGGATTCACTTTGAGTATTTCTATCCCATTCTTTGGGATCCCATGACCATTTTGTGGTAAGACCACGGATTTGGGAAATCAAAACTTTACTTTTCCTGTATTTGTCCCTTTGTATATTAGTGATACATGCTACCAACAGCCTGATGTTATCTTGCAGCTCATAGCACTGCTCTGCCTGAACAGTAATTACTTCTCGCGTGATCACCTTTGTATCCTGTAAAGTCCCAATTTCCTTCTCCAAGTCTCTCACTTTACTCTGTAATGCAACAACTTCATGGTCAAGAGCTCTCAGACTGGTAACTATCCCAGCCTCCACTAACTTGCGAGAAGAATCTGATGCTGCTTTCCCTGGCAATCTGCATATAGCTGTTGCAATCGTCTGGCAGTAACCACTGACCAGTTATTTATGTCAGGCCAGGCTTCTGGTGGAGCCACTTCAGCCAGGATAGCAGCCACGGGGATCCAGTTCTCAGTACGGGAGCATCCCGGAATAAGGGGATTCGCCATCACGGCCTCCCCAGTCCCCAACTTCTCTTTTAGCCATAGCATGGCTGTTCCTGGATCCTGCTGACTACACCAAATGTGTGAGCTGACACAGGCAGGATGCAGGAACAATCACAAAACTACAGATAAAATGCAAAGAGCAAATTTATTCTCGTTACCTCACACAGGAACAATCACAAAACTACAGATGAAATGCAAAGAGCAAATTTATTCTCGTTACCTTGTGACCTGGGGGATCTCCGCAGCAGCACCCGGGCAGAGGCACGCAAGCAGGGACGCAGGCACCGTGGAGCTCAGTCCTTGTTAGCCACAAAGAGGAGCAGAAAGAAAAGATCTCAGACCTGCTGCTTTTGCCTGTATATATGAGGGATTTTTGCAGGCGTAGTTTTCCACTGTGCTTTGATCATTCCCAGAGCAGAGCAGGAATCTCAAGGATGTTCGATAGGATGCCTCCGCGCCTCTCACAGGCCTGCGTTATCTAAACGCAGACATTCTATCTGTCAAGCACACAAAACTAAACAGCAATTAGTGTGATATATTTGTTTTTCAGCACCCCAGCTGCAAGTCACTTGAGCGTGTTTGCAATCCTCCTCACCAGTCTTCCCTTGTATTCCCACAGAGAGGCTTTGAGTTTCAAAGAGAACTAGTAATTCGGTGTTTGCAGGTACAGTGGTCACTGCTAACTTTTGTATCTATGTGTTTTGAATGCAGGGAAACAGAATGTATTGGTGAAACCAGCCACAGACAATGACAGCAGTGTCATCTCTTCCATCCACTCCGTCTTGTTGATGAGCAGCTGTGACAGTGAGGACTCTGAGGAGGACTCTTACTATAATGAAAGCAACTACATTATCTGAACACTATTACTGCAGACTCGTTTGCCTGTGTGCTGCCCAGAACCAACCTAATGGTGTTTGGTTGACTGCTGCTGGATGAGTGGACTGGACATCTGGAAGGAGAGACTATGAAGAGGCTGGAGTTGACAACTAGCAGCGTTTGGAAGAAGGACCTTATTTTTTAAATGAATGTACAGAAGCTTGATCTCTAAAACCAAATTGGGATTGTGAGAGAACAAACTGCTGTTACGCTAGATGGTTGACTTTCAAAACCTAGGCTTTCATGATCACTTGTGACCTCGGTGTAATGTAATAGTTTGTATGCATCGCTGCCCTTTCCTTAGTGAATGACATGTTTAAATGTACATCAGCTTCACTTATTTTGGGCAGCAGAGGGAATGGCCGAAGCTCTTTGAGAACCTGGCCATCCCCACCAGCAAGCAGGAGAGGTATATTATGAAAAAGTGCCAACATGGGTTTTCCTCTTGAATTTCCTGTGGCAGCTAGAGTCATCCCAGGCCTCTGGCAGTAAAGACAACAAAGGGTGGGTTATGGACCCTGTCAGCCTTAAGTGCTTAAATGCATTGTAAGCTGAGCTGCTGGCCATCACTTTGCTCTGTTGATGTTACTCATTTTCTGTTAAGATAGGGATGGAAAAGATTAAATCTTCCAGAATTCCTTAGCTAGTGCTTTTTTCACATAGTGTCTTTGGTTTGTTCCCGCTTCACGCTTTTGCATAAAGGGTTTTAGAATTGGGAAGCAACACAACCAGAAGTTCTTAGTACTGACTTCAGAAATGCATATAGTTCTTGGCAGCAGCAGAGAGGAACCTTTGCCCCTTCAGAAGTACTTCTGAGTTAGTGAAATGTCCTGTTGACAGGGTAGGAAAGCAGCATCTGTAGGCAACGGCACGGCGCAGAAGCATTTAGTTTTATTGTTTACAAAACGTATTACCCTCGTAGCGAATCACTCATCCCTAAGAGATTGAGCAAGTCTTGCCTCATCCTGTCACAAATTTGTGAAGTTCCATTTTCAGTGGCATATGCTTTTGACTTGGGGGTTACATGGAAGTGACTGTTTTACACTGTGAGAAGAGGATGGGGTAAGCCCTTCTCATCTAGAGTATTTCTCTGGCTATTTTTATGTACTTTCTCGTTTCTATGTTTATTTTAAGAAGGAAAATATAAATCCATTTCAGCATTAGTCTTCCTTGGTGCAACCACTAAGGTTAATGTCTTTCTCCTATTCGTCTTAGATTTTTGGGGAAAACACAGACTATCTCATTTTAATGACTTCATGTTTTGATTGCTGTAACCAGTGTGACTATTTTAAAGTTATTTGAAAGACTTGGGTATTCAGGAATTGATAAAAGACAACCTAGATCTTCAAGCCTGTGGCTACCCTAAAGGTGATCTGGTAAATAAAATCATACCTCTAACCTTCTTCCACTGAAGAAAGATCCTGTTAAAAAGGAATGATGATATTGTCCTAAGGAAATAGTGCATTTTACCAAATTTGATTGGTAGTGCTTAAACAGGGGAGGTAGGGCTGATCTGGGTGCCAGGCAACTTTCTTAAAATCTTAGTGTAAGGTTTCTTTGGTGAAGAAGTCATTACATCTTGAGTTTTCCTGTTTCCTTTTTAATGTTAATTTTCTATATGTGCTCTTGAAAGTTTCTTCTGTGAATATATGCTCTCTAGGATGTCTGAGAGAAAAGTGTTCCTCAAAACACTTGTGAAATAGGCTGACATTGGAGCAGGCATTTCCAGTGAAGAGTAGAAGCAAAATACTCTGGTTACCTCGGACTGCAAATTCTTCTACTGTGTATCTCTTCCATGTTGCTGTGCTTTTTTTTTGCTTGTTTCATTTTGCTAAATATATTTATTTTGTTATGTTGGTGTTTATGCATATTGCAGAGAAGAATAATGCTTCTCCTAGTAACAGAGTAGGTCTTTGGTGTGATTTCTGAGCGTGTCCTGTTTTCACTAGAATATGAAGAACACAAGTGGTATACCAAACCATTTGCACTGTCACCAGTAGGTGCATAGTCTGTAAAGGTCCACAGAGAGAGGTTAAGTAATAATCCTGTTCACTTGCAAAAGCATTTCACTGACAAAAGCAGACATCTTCCAGTTCATGAAGTTCCTTGGTAAAGCTACTACCAGATACAGAGTTGATGACTAGACATACAGAAGTGTCAGGCAAACTATTGAGCTTCTGGAAAAGACGTCCATATTTCTAACAATGACCTCTCCTTTGGTCTGAGGTCTAGATCTTTTCTTCTACTTGATTGTACATCTGAAGGTCCCCTTGGAGCTATCAAGCCCTGAGCCGTTGCCTGTGTTGCTACGGCACCAAGCGCTTCCAACTCTGAGCTAGTGACAGTTGTGCAGCAGGCTTGATGCTGGTTCAAAATTTGCTGCTTTCTGTTAGAAGACAGCTGTCACGTAGTGTGATAATCACACGCTTTGGGAGCAATATATTGTTTATCAACAGCAGCAGGAAACGCTGGGAAGGAGTGCTAATGCATTGTGGAATGGGGCCATCACTGAGGGACGGTGTGCTGTTTTATCATGGGTTCCAAGGCCGGGCTGGCAATCGCTTTTCTCTTGCCCGTGTAATCTACCCTGGTAGTGCTCAGTGAGCCGTAACAACCATCCTTTCACTTCGCAGAACATGTAATGGAATTTAATAATCCAGCTGTGCTCCACCCCCATTAAGTGTTTTTTTTCCTAAAGAGATGCTCTGACTAGTCAATGTTTTGCTTCCTGTTCATAGTCCTTCTCTCTTGCTTCTCCCTTTTGCCATAACTTCACATATTTAGACCCGTATCTTATAGCAACTACGTGATCCGTAAACTACACTTCCCAAATAGTATACTCCTCTCCTTAGTACAACTGCGTTTGTTTTTTAAGATTAACATTCATGCCTGTGTACTGAGCTGTACGCCCCCGGGTTTTCAAGGTTAATGTGAAGTACAAGAAAGCTCAGTGTTTGAAATCCTCACGACAAATAACCTATAGACATGTATTAGGCTTTTATTGAGTGAAAAGCTTTATCATCACTGGCCTTATAGAACCTGTGCTGGCCCTGCTGAAGTAACGGAGCTGTAGCTGGTTAACAGCGAAGTGCTTGGCGGTGAGCAGGCCGCGAGCTTTCCTATCGGCAGGAGTTTTTCAGGAAACCCGCCCTGCCTGTGGCGGTGATCCCGGTGACAACCGGCCTGGCAGCTCTCCTTCGTAAGCAGAAAAACGCCCCGTATTTCTTAAAAGCGCCACTTTTAAGGCAGCGGCTGAGTTATCTTGTGCGTCAACGCACTTCGTCCCCATTTCCTGTATACGATACATTTACAAAAATAACGCGATTTTCCACACAATTCCCGTATCTCTTCACCCCTTACCTCGCCTCCAGCGGGAAGTGCTGAGGCCGCCGGCTCCCCGCTTGCTCGGAGCGCCGGGCCCTGCCTGGCAGCGGGCGGGGCGGGGCGGGGCGGGGCGGCCGCCGTGCTGCCGCGGGCTCCGGCGGGGGGTTTTGGGGAGTTTTTGGGGAGTTTTTGGGGTTGCGGCTGCCCGCGGCGCGCCTGCGGGAACGGGCCGCTGGGTGCCGGCGCGGGCGCTGCGTCACTGTCGCGCGCCGGCAGGCCGGGGAGGACCCGCGGGGAGGGGGCGGGGCGGCGGCGCCTCCGAGCGGGGAAACGAAAGCGGCGGCGGCGGCGGCGGCGAGGGGCCCTCGGGAGACGGAGCTCGTCGGAGTCGGGGCCCGGGCCCGGGCCGCCCGCCCGCCGCCGCTCCTTCCGTGAGCGCTGTCCGCCGGCCCCGCGTGTGGGGTCAGCGCGGGGCGCGGCCAACGGCGGCTTCTCCCCCCCCCCCCCCCGCCCTCGGCCCGCCGCCGGCTTGCGGGGCCTCTGGGACCGGCCCCCCGAGCGGACGGACAGACGGACCGGCCCTCGGGCTGCCGGGTCGGAGCTGTGCCCGTAAGGCGCCGGCAGGGCCGTCGGCGGGGTGCTGCGCGCCTGTGGGGCGCGGGTCGGGGAATCCCGGGGGGGGGGGTTGTGCTGCGAAGGGGCTTCCCCTCTCCCGAGGACGGGGCGCTGCTTAATTGGCGGTTAATTCCGCGGAGTCTGAGATCCAGCAGGAAAACAGGTGCGCGAAGGGCCCCTTAGTACTGTCCGGGGGGGGGGGGGGGATCTTGAGAGGATGCTAGCGGTGGTGAATGAAGAGTGTGTTAACCTAATAAGAGGATATCTCACAAGAAATGGAGGATTGCTCTCGGTTTCTTAGAGATAAGCAAGGGAAAAAACCTCCCTAAATTGGCACAACAGCAGGTAAATACGAGTTGGCTGTAAATGAGCTTCTTGTAAAAGAGGAGAAGATTTCTTAGCCGTAGTGCAGTGAAGTTGTGGAATGATTTTGTTGGAGTCATGGGGATTAATAAAGGAATTGATCTTAAGCTGCTCTGTATATGTTTGTGGAAATAAGTTTGATAAGAGGGTTGGAATTGGTGTCCTGGAGCATCTTTTCTAGCCCAGCATCCCTGTGTAGAATAATAAACACCAATAGGTTTATACTGCTTTTTCTCAATAGTGCGGAGGTTTAGCTAGTGCTCTAAGCATATGTGCCTTTTAATTTTCACCTGCTTTCCTCTTCCTTGGTTCTTGGCCTCTGCAGGCCTTCCTGACTAGCTTCTACTAACTCTTAGGTCTTAGTCCTTTCTCTGGGTTTATGCAGTTTATCAGCCACATCCAGAAGCTTGATATCTTGCCAGTGATTTCTTATGAAAAACACAACCACCTCCCAACTTTAGCACACATTTAACGAAGTTCTGCTATAGAAGTCATATAGGAAAGCTCTCTTACTAATTAACGTTTACAGAGGTGAGGTCAGAGATGTTCTGAACCTCTTGTGAGAAATTGGTTCCACGGTGCATGTTTTCGATTAGATTGATCTTACTTCCTCATTTTTTTTTTTGTGTGTGTTTGGATAAAACAAATCTTTGATTCAGTAGTAGTAATCAACTGTCATATATTTAAGTTAACCAAGTGCTGATGTCTGGGTTGTCTTCATCCACTAGCATTTAATGATAAGTAGGTTGTAGGAATTGTTTGAAATTCAAGTCATCAGTAATAGGGAAGCTTCCATAGAGATTTCATGTTTGTTTAGTTAGACTAGCTATTTAAAAAGGTAGGTTCAAAATAAGCCAATACTTTCACCTAAAGCAAACTTAAGTTAAGAAGCATAATACTGAATAGTCCATGAAAGGATCTATGCTGCTGCGCCTTACCCTTCAGCATGCAGGAGAAAGTTAATCTGCTTAATGTTTACCAAGTGTGGTCATCTTTCAGCAAAAAAATGAAGAGGAGGACAGAACCTGAATTTAGCAGCCCCCAAAAGAAGCAAAAGAAGATAGAAGACTTGGGATTAACCCTCAGTTCCACTTCAGATGATGAGACTCAATTTAGTAATCATACTACTCAAGGTAAGGTTGGAGATAAGGTATATGCTGCTGTGGAGAACCTAAATAATAACTAGGAATTGAGCCCACATCTCCTAAATCCTAATTGATAGACTGAACTTCAAGGGCATACTCTCTCCTTAGGAGAAAAACTATATTATTTATGTTCACAGCCTTGGATTGGTGTGAATTTTTTTAAGCTTTTATTAAAATCTTACGGTTTGGTCTGGAAATTGTATGAATTCAGACATAGAAACCAGAACTTGAGGTAGAAGACAGGTGCATGGGCCAAAGCAGTAAAGATGCTTGTAATATGTGAGCAGCATTAATCTTTTCAGTGTCAGCAGTTATTTCTGTTTTGGAAATTTTCGTTAGTGAGGAGTTGTGGGTGTTATGCTGTAAAGAAGCATCATAATCCCTCACTGCTTAAAAAAATTAAAAAATCAATAATTTTACCACGTTTTTGCAGATGGGAGAAACTGAGATGAATACAAAGGGCAGGTTGATTGGGAATCCTACATTGTTGCACTATCTCTTTTGCTGGCTCAGTGTGGTTTTTGAGGGCAGGGGGGAGTTGAGAGCTCAGAGGTGTTTGGTTTCAGAAAGAAAAACTGTTTCAGAGCTAACTAAATTAATTGCCTACTTTTTCTCAGGTCAGAGTGTGCTTTCTCACCTCGAGCTTGGGGTATACCAAAGATGAAGCAAGTGCTCTACGCAATTGGTATTGCTGTTGCGGGGCATTTTAAACTCTCCTGGGATGGTACTTCAGGTTGCCTCACGGTCCTGGCTGCTACTTCTGAGTCTTGGGATTACCTGTGGTCATAAAGCGTTAGTGAGAAAGGGCCTGGACACATAAAGAAGGCTTCATCTTGTAAAAATGGAAGGGGCTGTGTATGGAGGATGAGTGGCTCACTTTGGGGGTAGTTGCAGTGGCGGGGCATGCTGTGTGTAGCTGTCTGGCAAGGCTGGAGGTGAGTGAGGAGGTTTAGAAGTGCAGGGTGTGAAAGCTGGGGTAGGGAATGCTGTATGCGCTCGGGTCTGAGCTTAAAAATTCAAACCAATATCTTTAGAATTTTTCCCCCCTTTTGATTATTGAGTTTATACATAGGTCAGAATAGGCTGTGAGCCTCAATGTTTAAGAAACAAGTTGTTACAGTTCAAGGACAATGTTTTGGATAGGGTTAGTTGTTTAGTAGTCTGTTACGCCCATTGTAGTTTCTGAAGAAAGAAGTGATTTGGGATCTGATCTCAGCTGAGCACGGCCTAGCAAATGTTAAAAGCAAGAAGAGTTGTGAAGGGACTGTCTTGAAATTTATGTAGTGGGTATTGTGTTAGAGGCACATCACGAGCCTCTGGGAAATAAGACATGGCTCAAAGGCCGGCAGCAAAGTTAATTCAAGCTGTGTATTGGAGAAGCAGAAAGCAGTAACTGACCCTAAAGCGAAATCCTTTGTGACCCTGTTCATATCGAAGAACTTTGTGAAGGAAAGAGAAATGCAGCTTGTGTGACAGACGTTTGAAGATCACGATGAGTATATAATATTGCAAACACAAGTTAAATCATAGCCTTCCTTGTCTTGAGCTTGAAGCCTCAAATGTTGATACTGTAAAACTCTAGCATAGTAGTTATGTGGAGACACAGGTTCTGATTTTTAAAAGCTGATAGTTCAGCAACAGGGATTGAACAGACATTGAAGGGGTTTTAACTACAGTCGTATATTTCACTGTGGTGTCTTTCATTTTCACATCACTTTCTTGTGATGGCCTTTCTTTACTAATTATCCAGTTGTTTCCTGTTACTTCACTGACACTCAGTTTTCCAAAATAGGAAAATATAGAGTGTGTTGAGAGAGAAATAATCTGTGGGGATTTTTTAATCAGAAAAACGTAAGAGAAGTTCAGTTCTTCTTTCTAGGTAATTATAATGTCTGTCTGTTTTCAATGTTTCTATGGAGCTAGATAATTCCTTTCAAAGTGTTAAACAGAAAAGATCAACTCTGCTAACTGTGATTTGCTGCATTATCTCAGGGCAACTTATGAAGTTCAGCTTCTCCTAGTTGTAGGAAGTAGCACAGAATGATTTCTAGCACTCAGCAAACAAGGGAGGCTCAAGAGGCAGAGGTCCAATGAAGAGCGTGGCTGTGCTTGCTGTGGATTGCTGCTCCAGTAGTTTACATCCTGCCCCGTGGCATTAACTTTAGTATGACTGACGTGGTGCTAGGCAAATTTCGGGAAGAAAATTTGTGTTATTGCTTCATCCTGGCAGCGATATTACCCCAGGAGAAGCGGAAGGACTCGGTGGGTTGTAGGGCCTCCCTTGCTACCCACCTGTTGTGGAGCAGGCTGTGAGACAAATGATACAACTACTACGATTCCTGCCCAGATCCCAGTTTTATCCAGCCCAGAGCAAAAAGGTTTGGGCATCTCACAACTGTAGAGCAACAGAGAGGACTATGCAGCCCGTACAGGCCTAGGTTCTTCCCAAATAGATCCCAGGGTGGAACTGGGCATAGAGCTTCATTGTTTGGTGCCCATGAAGGCTCTGCTGCATCAGTTTCAGGTGACAAAAGTTTATTTTGTGTGCCTGTTGTGTATGGTGGTAATTATTACTTTGATTGGACCATTGACTTGATTAACTTCTTCCTCAAACCTTCGTCTCTGTTGGGGTGTTTTAAAACTAGAATGGTGTCTTCTGACATTATTTTTCACTTCGGTTTGTATGTATCAGTAAACTCTAGAGTTGAAAAACTCTCATTTGCTGTGGTGAACTTGTGGATCCTTGCTACTGAGGTGAGTTGTGGAGTCAAACTGAAGTTTAATATGGGGACTAAGGGGTTCAACTCTTTTCTTTCTGCAGGGTTGGCCCTTTGGTAAATGCCTGTTTGCTTGATGTAGATTTTTGGTTAAGTTAGGGATGTGTTTACGCCAGTAGTTAGGTAGGAAACAGAGGAAAATCCAATATGTTTTATCAAGGTGTCAGTAATTGTCTTTATCCTCGGGAGGGAATCTCTGTGGACTTTCTCAGCTCCTTGGGATCATTGCAACGGTCAAGCACACCACAGTGGACTATCGTGGTCATGCTGTGGCCTGCTCTGCGGTTGTAGTGGGGTTTGCCCACCCGTTTGTTGGGTCTGGAACCCCCTGAC